CGGCCCCCGCGCGCCGCTCGCGCCCTCCGCGCGCCCGGGACCAGCAGCCGCGGCGCGGCCCGCACAGCCGGAACCGCCGCCCGCCCCGGAACTGCTCGGGCCGCCCGCCCCTCACCCGGAAGCGAAGCCGCGGCGCAGGCGAGGCCGGCCCCAGCTCTCCGGCAGCCGGGCCCTCGCCTAGTCTTCCTGGCTCTGCTGCCCTGCGCTCCGTCCAGGCCCACGGCCTCGGTCCCCTTCCTGCCTCGCTACCCTGGACCCGGACCCGACCGCCCCAGCCCCGGTCCCTGCCCCGCTCCCGGACCCTTCGGCAGGCCACGCCGCTTCTGGGCTTTCTTCCCAGTAATAATAATGTTGATGATTGTTTGGGCACAAACAACGCCCCTGCCCCCCGTAGCCTCAAAAGCGAGACTGGAATGGAGGAGGAGGGAAGCCGTGTGTCTTCCAGCTGGAGACGGGCCCCGACTCCCGCAGAGTGACTCCGGGCCCCGCTCGGCCCTTGTCACCTTGTATTATCATTGCCCGTTCCGTGGCTGGCGGCTCTGAGCATTGCCCCATTTAGGAAATAGCTCTGCGTCAGGCTCTATAGGTGCTGGGTCACTGGAGTGGACAGAAACAAGGTTCCCGCTCTCGCGAAGCTTACATTCTAGTGGGGAAGAGACAGAAATACATTAGGAACCTATCTTTAAAATAAAGATAATTTCAAGTGCCGATCCATTAATTAAATGGGGGTCGGTGTGATGGGCGTGGTGATACTTACGGTGGTCAGGGAAGGATACATTGCCGCTGAGACCTCCATGATTTTTGAGACCTGCCCTTTGAAGACCTGGTGCAGGACCAGACAGAGGGAACAGCCACTGCAAAGATCATTGGGGAGGAGTGGGAAGGAAGAGATTGGCCTGTGCAAGGAACCGCACAATGGCCTATGTGGCTGGAGAGTGGCATGAAAAGAGGTGGGCAGGGACCAGGAGTAGGGCTTTGGGACCATGATAGAGAGTTTGGCTTTTGTACTAAGTGCAACGGGAAGGCACTGGAGGGTTTTCAGCAGGAGAGTCCCATGATCTTAGTTAATCTGTAAAGATCCATAGTGTAGCTTGTAAGGGGGAGGGGCGAAAATGAAAGCAAGAACAATAGTTAGGAGGCCAACTAGTCCAGGAGAGAGGACTATAGCTTTGGCTGGAGTGAGAATAGTGAAGATGGAGAAAAATGGACAGATTGGCTGTTTTGTAGATAGTTAAAGGGAAGGACTTGCTGATAATGGGGGAGGAGTTGAAAGAACTCAGAAATGACTCCTGAGTTTTTGGCCTGAGCAACCAAGTGTTTAGTAATCCCATTTGCTGAAGTGAGGTGTGAGGAGAGTCTTAGGTTGGATGGATAAACAGGAAAAAAATATATAAGGCATTTGCATAATTTATTAGCAATACAGATGATCTATCCATGTACAATTGTGCTATCTAGTGGAGGTTTTCTTTTCTTCTATGGTTCATGGACCAAATCACTATTAACCCTGACTTTGGATCCAGCTCTCTTTCCCAGATAGTACTCCATGCAGCAAATGGAGATGAGACATTTTCTCCTTAAATGCCACATAGGTCATCTCTAGAAAGACCTAGAAGAGTGACATCTGTCTCTATTTTTGGAATGACTACATGTCCACAAAATTCAGCAGGTTTCAGATTCCACCAAATCCAACAGCCTTGCAGAAATGAGCAAAGAGTATCAATGTCACTACATAGATTAGGGAAGGAGGGATTTGATTGCTAGTCTATAGACTTCTCTGTCCAAATATTGGTCTCTTGCGGGGAGGAAGGCTTTTTTCATTACACAATTTATTTTTCCTCTGCCACAGAAATTGACGTAAGATGATAAGGATCCAGATATAATGCCTATCACATTACTTCAAGAGGTCTTCACTTTCTTTTCTTTTTTTAATAAGTACTGGAAAAGTTTAATAAAGTCATATTCTCGGCTTCTTGTCTGCTGTTTCTATTGTTCACTAATAGAAGAAACCCTAACTCCACAGGGCTAAATTCCCAAATAATATCCACTGATGTTCACTACTGGCCAACTGATGAGAATCCTAGAGTCAAATGTTAAAACAGTTTGTACCTATTCTAACCCCAGCTCAGTGGAATGATGACGATTTGATTCTTGTGGTTAAAAAAATAAACATATAAATTCTTCCTTTTCCCTAGGCAGTCCTTCCCAGACTCTCCTGTGTCTGTCCCTCCACACATGGTTCTGGATCTGTGATTAAAGAACAAAAACAATCAGTATTGAGTTAAAGGAATTTAAAACAATTTTATCAGATTAATGGCTGCACATCACTGCACGTAGTAGTCACCTATCTCATCCCTTCCTACCAACCAGGATAGGGGTGGGGTTGGTGGGGCTGAATACACTATTTACAGATTTCCCATTAATCCTTGTTTTTAGCCCCACATCTTATTCTTGCCTTCCAACTTACCTGGTGTTTCAAAGTTCCCAGTTTCTGAGATCTACAGGACAGATCAGTTCCCTTCCCCAATCTAGATTTCAGTAGAGGCAAATCCTAAGGGTTTGTGAGAAGTGGTATGCTGGAGAAAAAGAATACAAAACTATGTACTAGTACCTGTCCTGCTACTGACTTGACCTTGGGAAAGTCACGTCACCTCTCTGGGCCTCTTTCCCCTACCTGACGTAACAAACTCACAGTCACCCTGTCTTAGTAATAGAAGCATCCCATCCTCTCACCCACCCTTAAACAAAGCAGCTGGGACTTTTCAGAGATGAGCATGAGGCTTCTTATGGCAGAAAGTGCTTGGGGACCCAGAAGAACATAGAAGGCCCCCAGGAGGGAACTATGCTGGCAGCCCGAAGTCATAAATAGCCATTCTGCAGCTGTTAAAGGGCCATGAACATGGCATGTTTTATTGTGATGGATGGTAGGCCTTGGCCGGAAAAGGCGGAATCCAGATGGGACTTCGGGGAAGGGTATGGAAGGGACTGTACGATCACTCTTCTCTTTAAGGAGTATCTTTTGCCTGACAGGATAAACAACACACTACCTCCCTGGGGGAGGTTTACCACGTGGGCCAAGAGTGTGGTGGATGTAGCACATGTGTGTACCTGGGGTTTCTGGGGTTAGAGAGGACAAAGGAGCTAAGTCCAGAGGTTAGCCATTTGTGGCTGGGGCTTAAATCTCAGTTTGTCTCGGATCAGTTCCCTTTGCGCTGACTTGGAGACAAGAGACTATTGATTAGCGCGTAGGAAATTTATTAGAGAGCCTCTCAGGATCAACTCCTGTGGGGGAAGGGAAGGAAGTAGGATTGGGCAGAGAGAGAAGTCAGGCTGGGGTGCAGGCACAGAAGGCTTTGGCAAACCCCAAGGGGAGCTCCAAAGCTGGGATGGCCACCCTGAGTTGCTCTGAGTTGGGGAAAGGGGTCAAGCCTTTACATCCCTGCACTGACCGGTCATTGGATGCTAGCTACCTCAGGAATGGGGTGTGACCTTGGGGAAGGCAGCTCTCTTTAGCCAAAGCCAAGTCCTCAGGAAGGCTGGCTGACAGCTGAGATCTGGCAACCTACAACCCTCGGGTAGCTGGGGAATAGTCCTTCAGTCCTGCAGGAGGACCTAGGCAGCTCAGTGCAGCATTTGCAGCATGCCACCATGGTGCTGTGCAGATCATTCACACCTTTGGAGTGTGGCACCTTCAGGATCCTGGGGTGCATCTTTTCCTGTGGGAAACGTACAGAGGAAGGTTAGTGGGACAAACCACAGCTCCTGCCGCTGCTGAAGCTCATCCTGAGGCATAAACAACATATTCATTTTTTCTCTCTTCTCCTATCCATCCAGGATTCCTCTCACCCTCTGCCAGCACCTCTGATGGTCTAGGTGGCATATGCAGTGGGATGGCCTAGACTTGCATCCCTGAAGAGTTTGAGCCCCTGGTTACCATGCACTTCTCAGGCTGTGGCTGCTGTATTTGTCCATTTAATGTAAAAATAGGACAAGGGAGTACTAAAAGACACCCAAACGGATCATATGGGTGCCAAACATTCCTCCCTGCCCCTATATGTATTTGCAGCTGGCTTCCTTCCCCTGGTATATCATCCCATTTACTACTAGTAGAAAATTTAGCAATCTTAGAGTTTCCCTCTGCCAGAGGCTACCTGTGCTCCTCCTCTGCCAAGGATAGGGTCCTCATTATTACCTGAGCATTGGGTGATCCAGCTCCAGTCCCATCTTAGCATCCACTCTTTCCAATCATTGGCACCAGCTGTTGTGGGCTGGGTTTTCTAGGAAGCAGACTCTGAGCTGCAGGGAGTTTATTAGGGGAGTGCTTTTGGAACCCAACATTTATGGGGAGAGGGAAGGAAGCAGGACAGGGCAGAGGGCAAAGTTAGGCTGAAGTACAGCCATTACAGGGCCTCATTGGACCCCATGGGGAGTTCTGAAGCTGGATGGCCCTGCACAGACCAGTCATTGGATGCTAGCTGCCCAAGGAAGGTGTGATCTTGGGCAAGGGGCTCTCTTCAGCCAGCAGCAGGGGTGGGGTTTAGGGGTGGAAGGTATAAGTCCTTCAGCCTTTAAGGGGATCTGGGCAGCACAGCACAGCATCCATGACAGTTTGTATCCTGCAATTCTACCAATCAGCATGACCTTGGCATCCACTCTAAAGAGTCTTTTCAGCCTGAGATGAAGGGAAGACTGAGGGACCCTCTGCATGCCCGGCACGGATATGCTCCCATCACAGAACCTCCAATGCTGATGGGCTTTATTCTCACAAACTTTATTCCCCTTTCCCTACTGACTGGAGGATGGAGGAAAAGGATGTGTTTATGATAGAATTAAGTTGGTATCTGGGTAGACCCTGCCAGACTGGAAGAGGAAACAGATGACCTAAAACAATAAACCACTGGCAGGAGACTCTGAGGTTGAGAGTAGCCCTTTGTATCAGCCTCTGTGACACAGGATTTACCCAGTGAGAAATCGACCCTGATTTATTGTCTGGGCAGAACCACAGAAACAGAAGAATAAGCTGGGAACTACCCAGGTTCACCATGGAAATCTTTGCACAGTGCCAGACACCTACTAGGTGCTTGGTTTCCACTTGTTGAAGGGATGACGGCCCTGGGCCAGGTGTTTAGCCTCTCAGTTGCATTGGAGTGGGGATAACAAGGCCTACCTCATTATGTTGTTTTCTCTTTCTTCTAGAATTTAATTTTGATGATTTATATTTTCCTAAAATTGTCCATTTCATCTGTTTTTTAAATCTAAGTTCCAAGAGGATAGAGCCGTTGTTTGTCTTGTCTACTGTGGTGTCCCTGGCATCAGCACAAACCCTAGAGCGGCTTCCTGTAAATACTCGTTGTGTGAGTGAATGTGTGTGGGAGGAAGGATTACTTTGGAGAAAAGAAGGAAGCATTAATAATGCCTCTCCTAATAGTGACTCATTTTTTTCAGGCCACCCTTGAGCCTTTTCACATTCAAAACATCCATGAAAAAAAGTGCAGTTCCAAAGCAGTTGGTGTAACAATATTTTAAAAATATCACTATTAGGAGCGCAGCAGGGGATACTCTGGTCCCAGGTATTCCACGATCTCCTGTGATCTTCCTCTGTCTTTCAGACACCCTTTCCTCCTCCCCATTTCTACGGTTCACCAAGGATGAATGAACGAAGAACCCACTGTGAGTGGGCACTGCGCAAGTCCTCACTGAAGTTTTGTTCTTCTCCACCGATGTTTTCACACACTGCCCTGGAGTGCAAACCCCACGCCGCGTTTTCCAGGGTCCTCTGGGGCCCTGCGCTGACCTCGCTGTTACCCACTTCTGGGCGACGGCGGCGCAGCGCCCCCTGGCGGCCGTCCCGAGGCGCGCAGCTCACGGTCCCCTCGTCTCTGCGGTCATCTCAGGGCTCTGGAGCCTCCAGGGCTCCAAACCGTTGGGAGTTGGACCGACTCCAGCCTCGGCTCCGGGAGGCCCTCCGGAGCCGCCCGCCCTTCCGGGGCCATGGAGAGGTCCACCCGCAAAACCAGAAATGGTAACTGGGGAGTGGGGAGAGGGCGATGCCCTGGGGACAAAGCCTTCTTCACTTTTCTTCCTCTGTAAAATGGCAACGTCACACTCTTGGCCTGGGAGGTGACCTCTTGCCATCAAGGTATCAAGGTATAATTTCCATACAGTAAGACCTCCCCTCCCCCACCTTTTAGAGCACAGCTGTACGAGTTTTGACACGCATGCAACCACGTTAAACCACTACCGCAATCAAGATAGGAAACAGTTCCACCACCCCCAAAATCACCTTGCCGCTGCCCCTTTGCAGCCAATACTTACCCCACCCCAGCTTTTCACACACTCCCCATCTGTTTTTACATTCCCTTTTCCATGGAGAATGCCATGAAAATGGATTCATATAGTAAGGAGCCTTTTGGGTCTGGCTTCCTTCACTTAAGCCTGCTGATTTTTGAAACTGGGCTTCCTAGGAGGCGACATCAGGAGCACATTGAATTTGTAAGCTGAGGCTAGAACCAGTCAGACGCTGTCTAAGATGTGACTTCTCAGTATGCTCAGGAACCAGGTGCTCCAAAAGGGCATGCCCTGCCCCAGATCCTCCCAGAACCCTGAAGGGTCTCTGAGGATAGTATCTTTTTCATACTACGTTGTTTTATTTTCCAGACAGAGAGCATCCATGGTTTGGGGGAAGGTGAGGGTTGGAGCTGGGCAAGGACCTTGCTTTGAGGAAAGGGTCATAAGTCCTGCCAGCTCCTCATAGCTGGGGGCTGGGATTTGGGGGAGTCCCTTACTCAGCAATGGCTCTAAAAACACCACAGTCATGTGGGCTTGGCAAGTTGTAGTTGTCAAATTGTCACTTGTCCTTATGGAAAAGAGTAGTGTGTGAAATGCTGGAAAGGTGTGATCTCCCCAGAGGCTTCCTGTATACTGAAAAGGATTCTCCTAGAAGCTCCCTCTCTGCAAAATAACTTGTTTTAAATCACTCCTCAGTCCTTGAAACTTTCCTTGTGAGATCTGGTTCTACAGAAAACATATTTCAACTCCTACAACTGCCCACTGTCCCCAAGGGCCTTCGGGTTTCCTCTCAAGTGCTTTTTGGTTCCATCTGCTGTGCACCTCCACTGTCACTACCGGGACACACGCCATGGCCCTTTCATTTTTTTTTAAGCCAAGTTAAACTACCAGACCCCTTCATTTCTTTTCTTTTCTTTTTTTTGAGACAGTCTCACTCTGTTGCTTGGGCTGGAATGCAGTGGTGTCATTATAGCTCACAGCAACCTCAAACTCCTGGGCCCAAGTGATCCTCCTGCTTCCATCTTCCAAGTAGCTGGGACTACAGGGACGTGCCCTGATGTCCGGCTAATTTTTCTATTTTCAGTAAAGACGGGGTCTCGCTCTTGCTCAGGCTGGTCTTGAACTCCTGACCTTGAGCGATCCTCCCACTTCAGCCTCCCAGAGTGCTAGGATTACAGGTGTGAGCCACTGCACTGGCCTTCATTTTCATTTTTAAAAAATGCAAATCTGATCACGTCCAGCTTAAATTATTTCCAAGCTTTTTCATGAAGGTAACTCTGAAAGCCACTGTCTACTTTGACTTTGCCCCTCTTGCCTGCCCCCTCCTTTGACAGGGCTCACTTCTTCTGGCTCAGACCTTGACACAGTTTGCTCCCTCCACCCTGCTTTGCCTAAACATTTCCTATTGGTCCTCTTGACCTTAATTCAAATTTTAACCCCTCTAGGAAGCCTGATGAGACTTTGGCTCCCTGTTCACCTTCGGAGCTCTCCATCCTTATTCTTCCTAGCACGTGTTACAGTTTGTTATCCAGCGTGTATTCACATGACTGATTGATATCTGTCTCTTCTCCCAGTCTGTAAGATCCATGAGGGCAAGAAATGTTATCTGTTTGGCTCACCACAGTAAACCCAGGGCCTAGTACTCTGCCTGCATCAATAAATATTTGTTAAGTAAACAGTAACAAATCAATAGTCATAACTATTGATTAAGCACTCATCATATGCCAGACTCTGTGCAATAGCCCTTTAATGGTCCCATTTTTTTTTTTTTTTTTTTGAGACAGAGTCTCGCTGTGTTGCCTGGGCTAGAGTGCCGTGGCGTCATCCTGGCTCGCAGCAACCTCCAACTCCTGGACTCAAGCGATCCTTCTGCCTCAGCCTCCCAAGTAGCTGGGACTATAGGCATGCGCCACCATGCCCGGCTAATTTTTTCTATGTATTTTTAGTTGTCCAATTAATTTCTTTCTGCTTTTAGTAGAGACGTGGTCTCGCTCTTGCTCAGGCTGGTTTCGAACTCCTGAGCTCAAACAATCTGCCCACCTCGGCCTCCCAGAGAGCTAGGATTACAGGCGTGAGCCACCGCGCCCAGCCTTAATGGTCCCATTTAATTCCCAGAACAGCTCTCTGAGGTGGACACTTCTTATCCTCATTTTACCGATGAGGAAACTGAGGAGTAGGGAGGTTAAATAATTGCCCCAGGGTTCTGGCTTCAGAACCCCGTTGACTATTGCCATGCTGCTGTCTTGGTGAAGGACTCAAACAAACTCCCCTCTTTCTATCAGAAAGAAAAGTCAACCTCAAGGTCAAGGCATCTGTGCACAACTTGAGCAAAACGCAGCAGACCAAACTCACCGTGGGCAGCCTGGGATTAGGCCTGATCCTCATCCAGCATGGGCCCTACCTCCAGATCACTCACCTCATCAAGAAGGGGGCTGCAGAGAAGGACGGGAAACTCCAGCCAGGTGACTGTGCTCTCCCCATGCCTCCCAACCACCCATCCCCTGCCTCCCTCTCACCTGCCTTCAGGGAGACTTGAGTTGCAAGGTTTCAGTGTAACCATAAGGACATGATGACACTGATTGAGAACTTTCTATGGGCCAGCCAATTGCTATCACTTACATAATTCTCCCTATTGGTTGTATTAATTCACTTAATTCTTATAATAACCCCTCAGGTAGCAATGTTGTTATCATTCCCCTTTTACAGGTGAGCAAACTGAGGCTCAGTGAGATTAAGCTCCTTGTCCAGGTTCACCTGCATGTTGCACATGTTATACAAACACAGGCACAGTGACTCCAGAGGTTATGGTTCTCTGTGCATACAGATGTTTTTCTTTTGTAGGCAGTATTAATCACTGCTGACATTTAGATATATGATCTCATTACACTCTCACAACCTCTGAGGGAGATTCTGCATTAAACCATCTTACAGACAAGGAATCAGGTATTTAGTAACTTGTCCACGGTCACACTGAGGAGCTGGGATTTGAACCCTCTCTGTCAGACTCCAAAGCCCAGCGTCTTTACCAATACCACCCTATTGCTCTTTGGGTGAGTGAATTTTCCATCCAGTTCTACATGTGTTTTCCAAGTTCCTGGCCTGAGCCTAGGGCCGTGCTCTGAGTGGGGAAGGCACAATGGGATGGTGAAGTGGAGAGAAGGAAAAACCATTTTGTGTTAGCTGGCCTGAATTCAGGCCCGTGCTCTGCCACTTTCTAGTTCTCTGATCTTGGGCAAAGTCACTTAACCTTTTAGGCCTCAGTCATCTCATCTCCAAACTGGGATAATCCCATCTTTGTCAGATGTTGCTAGGATTCGATAAAACATTTTTTATGAAAGTGATTTTAAAACTAAAGTTTAAAAAGCTATAGAATTATTGGCAGTAATTTCTCTTAGGCCGTTATTACTTACAGATTCTCTAGACTTGTGTCTTTTTTTTTAATATAAAAGATGACTGTGATATAGGAGTCCCAGTGGATTAAACCACTAGTTTTCAACCCTGGTTACCTATTAGAATCACCTGGGGAGCTTTTAAAACTAAGACACCTGGGCCCCATGTCCCCAGAGGTTCTGATTCAATTGTTCTGGGATTGGGACAGGGCAGTTCTTGTTTTAAAAGCTCTTTATGTGATTCTAATTTGCAGCTAGGTTGGAAGCAACAGATTAAAGAAGAAAGTAGATAAATTACGCTTTTATGGAACAGTTTATCTTACCTGAAAATTCAAAGCGTTTCCCCCACGTATCACTACTTGGTTCTGGGAAACAAATTGCCAAAAGGAGAGTTCTGGACTTCCCAGACCAAGAGAACTCCAGGACAGGTCCCATGAGCTTTTCTGCTTCTTTTCCTCAGCTTCTCTGGGGTCAGGTGACAGATGCTGGTGGACGATCCAGGTACACAATCGTGGGTGCTTGAGTGAGACAGGAGTATGCTTTCATGCCTGTGCCACAGAATCTCACATTGGAGCCACAGTCAGTGGGCTCTCTGAAGTCAGAGGCAGTCTTGAGTTCATCTTTTAAATCCAAGACTTAAGGCTGGGTGCCGTGGTTTGCATCCATAATCCTAGCACTTTGGGAAGCCAAAGTGGGAGGATTGCTTCAGGTAACGGTTCAGACCAGCCTGAGCAAGAGTGAGACCCTGTCCCTACTAAAAATAGGATAATTAGCCAGGTGTGTGGCGTGCACCTGTAGTCCCAGCTACTTCGAAGGCCGAGGCAGGATTGCTTGAGCCCGGGAGTTTGAGGTCTCAGTGAGCTATGACGATGCCACTGCACTTTAGCCCAGGTGAGAGAAGAGACCTTGTCTCAAAAAAAAAAAAAAAAAAAAAAATCCAGGACTTACCTACAGTACTGGTACATTTATTATGTCTGTGGTTAATAAATGAATAATGAATGACTATTTGTCCCAGGCTCTATGCAAGGTGTTATCTAATTTAATGTTTGCAACACTTCTGAAATAATGAAATGTAGAGGTGTTGAGAGATGAAGTAACTTGTTTTTCAACATACACAACTAAGTCTGTGGTCAGAGCTAGGATTTGAACCCAGGTCTCCTTAGAAAGCCCATACCTTTCTAGCCAGTTGCCTAATAACGAGATGAGATTTTAATACAGAGGAAGTCCAGAGCCCTGCGTCTCTTTGTGACAAGTCCACCGCTTCAAAGTCTCTGTAATTCAGTCATTTTTGACAATGATTCTGAGATTTTGGGAGGCGATAATCATAGAAACTTGCTACTTCTTTGACCCCACTGCCTCCCATTATTTCTCATCCATGTGCTTTAAATTTCTCTCCTTTGGTGTTTCCTGATGGGGTTTCCTCTTGATTTCCTAATTTAGTTTAGTGTTAGCGTATTCTAGCTAAACTTCAAACTCCTTTTGGTCAGTATGGCTTTAACAGATTCTAATATCCAAAAAGTCTGAAAAATGAATATGGCTTTGACAGTAAATACAAGTCACGTACTGGCTACTGCCCTTCCCAGGCCACATGCATCCATAAGTATTTCCTGAATGCCCGCTGCGTGCAGGCACCCAGCTTGGCACTGCGGGTGGAGTGAGTGGAGAGCCAGACAGACGTGGTCCCCACCCACATGGAACTTAGGGATCTTATATCCTAATTGGGAGAGATGAAGAAAAATAAATAAAATCTGTTTTTCAGCAGCGGCTTCGCTGCTGCAACGTTGATTTAATATACATAATCGAGACAAAGTTTATGAAATGTCATTCCTATAGCCCCTTCAAACAGCAAACAAATGGGTAATGAGGTTGGTGTTCATAAATACAAAACTGGTGTATCTCTATGAAGCGCATTTTTTTTTTTTTTTTGAGACAAGAGTCTCACTCTGCCACCCTGAATAGAGTGCAGTGGTGTTATCATAGTTCACTGTAAACTCAAAACTCCTAGGCTCAAGTGATCCTCCTGCCTCAGCCTCCTGAGTAGCTGGGACTACAGGTGTGCATCACCATGCCTGGCTAATTCTTCTATTTTTAGTAGAGATGGGGTCTCACTCTTGCTCAGAGCCAGTCTCACAACTTCTTTTTTTTTTTTTTTTGAGACAGAGTTTCGCTTTGTTGCCCGGGCTAGAGTGAGTGCCGTGGCGTCAGCCTAGCTCACAGCAACCTCAGACTCCTGGGCTCAAGCAATCCTACTGCCTCAGCCTCCAAGTAGCTGGGACTACAGGCATGTGCCACCATGCCCGGCTAATTTTTTTCTAGCTGTCCAATTAATTTCTTTCTATTTTTGGTAGAGACGGGGTCTTGCTCTTGCTCAGGCTGGTCTCGAACTCCTGAGCTCAAACAATCCGCCCGCCTCAGCCTCCCAGAGTGCTAGGATTACAGGTGTGAGCCACCGCGCCTGGCCCTGTGAAGGGCAATGTTAATATCTATTGCCAGAGTAATCACATTCATACACTGACACATTTGGTTTGCAGCCAGAACGGTCAGGGAATTAAGCTGTTTATTTTCTGCCCTCTTGATAAAAGTCACCCTATTACAACATAATTAAGCAGAATGCCAAGCCATAGCTTTCAGCTATAAACACTCCTTTTAACAGTACGCAAGTAAGTGAGGGTTTTTTTTTTTTGCCATTGTAATTAACCTCCATCGGATGAGCAGCTGTTTCATGCCACCCACTCTGCAGGTAGCCTTGTTTCATTCTGAAGTTAGCTTCAGATACTTGGTTGATTTTTTTGCCCCCAGCTACTTCTTAAGACCAAAGTAGAAGGTTCTTTTCCACCCTTCTAAGTATTAATTTTCTTGAATTCTAGGAACTTTTGTCTCTGATAGGATCTAGAACTATGGAAATTTGTCCTTGGCATCCTTGGAGGCTTTTTTTGGGAGTAGAGCAATTCCTGATGTAAGCCTAGTGGGTGTCATATCAGAGCTGGTCCCTCTTTGTCCTACAGTGCTGTAAAGTAGGGGACCTAACTGTCAAATCCATTCTACCAGGACTATCCAGGATAGTTCAGATTGTAAGTGGTTTTTAGCTTCTCTCACACCAAGAACTTTGGAAGTGTCTCAAAAACATAATGTCTACCATCACACTGCTATTAAGAAATATCTTGCATGCATTCTTCATTATGCACAGGCCACTATTACAGAGACGAACATCTTTATTAAATAAAAGCTGGTGCCTGGTTTTGGTTCAAAATTAACCAAGAATACGATCCCATAAAATACCTCACAGTAAAGCCAAAGATCAATAAGGGGCCCTTTCAACCATTATCTTAGTTCTGATAATATTTTTTCCTCCACTCTTCAGGTGATGTTCTGATTAGTGTTGGCCATGCCAATGTGTTAGGATATACTCTACGAGAATTTTTAAAGCTTTTGCATCATATCACCATAGGAACAGTGCTACAAATCAAGGTTTACCGAGATTTTATTGACATACCCCAAGAATGGCAAGAAATATATGATTTAATCCCTGAGACCAAATTCCCAGTACCACAGTAAGTAGTTCATTTTAGGAATTCTTTGTTACAATATAGAAGCCCAGGGTCTACGAGGTACAGGGTTTAATGTGAGAATTATCTAACCATAAGGACCATGGTGGGAGGGGTTGGTGACACTACCAGAATAATTTCCTGGTTTTTGGAAAGGACAATCTGTAAGACCTAAAATGAGGCAGCATGATAAAGGCAACTTGGAGTTAAACAAGTCCCCCATGGGAACTCTGTCCCTACATCTACCTACATTGTGCCTCTTTCCTGTCAGCCCTTAAAACGTTAGTTGTGAATCCTGTTTCCTCTTTTGTCTTTTGCGTATTCAACTTTTTTCCTTCTGGGTCCTTCTGAATAACATTTAAGCCTTTTAAAGCCTCTCCCATCTTAGCAAACCCTCCCTTAACTCCACTCCCTCTCCCTGCCCCCTCCAGCCACTGCCCTGTCCCTCGCCTCCCCTCCCAGCTTGCTGAAGGAGCTGTATTAGACATCTGTCTCCTCAGGACACATCCGTGTTCCCCAGACACTCCTCACCCCAGCTCAGTCTGGGCTTTGCTTTCACCCTCGCTGAGAGGCCTTTTCCCAGGGTCATCCTCAGCCTTCATACTGTCGATCCCAGTGGACCCTTGTGTCTTGATCTTACTTGGCTTCTGAGCAGCATTAGACACTTTACAACTTCCCACCCCGACTCGTCTTGAAATACTGCATTGTGCCTCTCTTTCCCAAGTCAGCCCTTAAAAGGTTAGTTGTGAATCCTGTTTCTTTCTGTGATGCCATGCTCCCCTGATTCTCCTGTTGTCTCTGGTCATTTCCTTTTGGTCTCCTTTTACCCAACTTTGGGGTTCCTCAAGGTTTAGTCCTCAGCTCTCTTCTCTCAATCTCCTAGTCAACCTTCTTGATGCCTGTGCTGTCTATAAACTTCCATACACTAATCACAATCCAAGTTGTGTTATCTCCAAACTTGCATATTTATTTTATATTTTTAGAGACAGGGTCTCACTCTCTCAGCCAGGCTGGGGTGCAGTGGTGCAATCATAGCTCACCGTAACCTTGAACTCCTGGGCTCAAGGATCCTCCCGCCTTAGTCTTCCAAAGTGCTGGGATTACAGGTGTGAGCCACTGTGCCCGGCCCAAACTTGTGTATTTAAACACCTACTTGACATCTCCATATGGTTGTATCAGAAACTCCTCAAACTTATTATGCTTAAAATCAAAAGCCAGCTCACCAGTGATCTTCCAGTGACCCTACTGAACAAGCCAGAAATGTAGGGCTTGTGCTTGATTTCTCTATCCCTCCTCCACTCCCCAACCAATCACTTAGACTTGTCATTTTACCTTCTATTTTCTCACAAGTGTCCACTTCTCTCCCTGGCCATTGTCACTGCTCCAGTCAAAGCCACCATTTGGTCTCCCCACATCTACTCTTGCCTCTTATTTATTCTCCACACAGGATGATCCTTTTACAATGCAAATCTGATCGTGGCATGTTCCTGCATAAAATAAAAGACCATTTTTTGTTCTTAGAATAAATGCCAGAATCTTTGCATTGGCCTACAAATTTTCTCCATGGTTCTGCTGGCCTCTGCATACCATTCCAGCTTCATCTCATACTGCTCTCCCCATCCCTCTCCAGCCCACTGTAGCTTTCGGCTTTCTGCCTTGTGTTGCTTGTCACCCCAGGGAGTTTGAACTTCCTTTTCTTCATTTGAAACATGCTTACAACTCTGCCCCTCAGTACTCATCCTTGAAGGTTCACAATGTACTTTCTCCAACAGGCTTTCCTAAAAACAGGCCCACCTGTTATATGCTCTCGACACTCTTGTGTATCTCCTTCACATTTATCCCAATTTTAATGAAATCATCTGTGTAATCAATTGTTTACTGTTTTCCTGGGAGAATGTAAACTCCATGAGCGCAGGGACTGAGTCTGTCTTGTTTAGCTAAAACTCTCATAGGATTTTCATGTGCTTGATGGCTCATTTATTGAAAGAGTGAATGAAAAACTGAAATCCACCTTTGAATCTCAGCTGCTTCTTTGTATGTAATGCAGAAATAACAGGGACTCTTCTGAGGATCAGATATATGAGGAAGTGTTCCACAGAATATGAAAGCATGTAGAATTTGAGATCCTTTTCTTACAGTGACAAATTCAGTGCTCGGATGCAAGAGTGGTTCTTAATAATTCTTTCAGAATTTCTGAGCACTGTTGCTCTCGTTGTGCACATTTGCTTATTGGGATGCACTAGAAGAAATATCTAGGGACTTCACAAAGACTAGAAAATGGGCCGTATTACATAAACTTACTTCAGAGACTCAAACTTGAGGCCCGATGGACTGATATGGCCCACAGATGGGCCCTGCTCAGCTCCCATAGAATTTTTTTTTTTTTAATTTTTTTTTTTTGAGACAGAGTCTCACTCTGTTGCCTGGGCTAGAGTGCCGTGGCATCAGCCTAGTTCACAGCAACCTCAAACTCCTGGGCTCAAGCGATCCTACTGCCTCAGCCTCCCGAGTAGCTGGGACCACAGGCACGTGCCACCATGCCCGGCTAATTTTTTATATATATATTTTTAGTTGTCCAGCTAATTTCTTTTTTTTTAGTACAGAGGGGGGTCTCGCTCTAGCTTAGGCTGGTCTCGAATTCCTGAGCTCAAACAATCTGCCCGCCTCAGCCTCCCAGAGTGCTAGGATTATAGGAGTGAGCCACCACACCCCCGGCCTCCCACAGAATTTTAAAAACCCAGAAGAGCAGTCACCCATAGAGAGCAAGGATGATACACGTGGACCAGGGGCCAGTAACAGTGTATTTCTTGACCTGGGTGGTGGTTACCAAGGTGCTTATAATTTTTTTTGTTAAACTGTTTTTCATACTTTTCTGTATATTTCAAAACTTTATAAATGACAAATACTTGTATTAGTTGCCAAATTTACAAATCTAAGACGTCACGGGAAGAACCTGCATGTCTGGTTTCTCCTGAACAATCAGAAGATGGGCCTGCATTCCCACGTGGCGAGCGTGGGCTAGAGCCTGGGTATCAGCTGTCTCCTTCAGATCAGACTGAGGAAATTTTTTTCCCCCAGTGACCAAAGCTATCCTAACTTGATTAAAAACCATTAACAATAATAGTGAACACATATTCATTCATTGCTTACTATGTGGTGGGGACTGCAATAAATGCTTTCCAACACAGACAAGAAAGCGGAAGCCCAGAGTGGAGTGTGCAAACTTGCAGGAGGCACAGGGCTAAATGGCACAGGCCTGTCTCTAGAGCAGCAGTGCTCAGTAAGAACTTCCTGCGGCAGTGGCGATGTTCAACGTCTGTGTATTCAAGTTTAATCAATTTAAACTTCCCAGCCCCTGTATGAGAGAGCACATCTCTAAAGCCTGAGCTCTTAACCATTTGATTATAGAATAACTATGTTCTAAGCATTTTCATCAGACAGACAAGTTTGAGATTCGGAATATTAAAATCTAAGGATGGCAGATTGACCATTCAAAAGCAAAAAAGATACACACAGAGAGAATAGCACAACTTAAGTATGAGGCTAAACCCCCAGAATTAAGGAACAGTAACAAGCACGTTCTGAATCCCTTTCTTAATTAAGCAAAGTACTTCTATCTAAGGCACTTTGGTAACACGTGGAAGGTGACAGGGAAGAGGAAGAAGGGAAAGGAAAAGGCTTCTTTTATAAAGTTGGTATGACCTTCTTCAAGAGAAAATGGCACTTTGTGCACACTGAAGAGAATACTCCATATAATGCTCTAGGTAGGCCTAGTGATATAAAAACTTTGTTTCTAGTCAACCTTGACCTCTGCTGGCTTGTGGCTTTATTACCTAACACCAGTTCAATAAGAGCCAGCCCTACTACCTGTCTTTTATGGTTACCTAATACACAAGGAGACCCCTTGCAGTCTGAAAAAAAAGTAATTTGGATTTTTTTTTTTTCCATTCATGTGCTGTTCGGGAAGACCTGGATGTGTCTGAAGGCAAACTGTTGTCTCCTGAGATTTTTCTGAATCTCTTTGCATGGCCCAAAAATCAAGGATAAAAGAAAATCATACAATTTAAGACTAGTGGCTCTCAGTAAAAATGACTCAATACCAATCGTTTATTACTAGAAGAGATAAACTTTAGAGAAAGCTGTTCGAATTCTTGGAAGCAAATAAAACAGCCAGAATGCCAAGGGTATTAGTGATAACACTATCAAGTCTGACAGGTCATGGGGTGAGAACGTACCAGAGGTTTGTAACGAGAAAGATCTGGTTTTAGTTCTACTGGGCAATAGCCAGGATGGAGGCAAGGAGGTGAGAGCATTTTTTCTGGAAAGTATTAATAACAGCGAGCACAAGTACTGTAGGCATTAGAAAAGTTCAGAGGCTTGTAGCTGCCAGCGGGCAAGCATCACCCAAGTTTCAACAATCAAGAAAGCCAATAGTTGGGGAAAGTAATAAAAAAAGCCTTTAAAGCTTTTGGATGGCAACAGAGAAATGGAATAGTGAATGACAAAAGACATCTGGGTAGAAGGGTGCTCTTCAAATTTACATCTGTAAACCCAAAAGAGAGGCAAAGAATGATGCTCTGTGTGGCCGTGTTGGGAGAATAAAAGACTGAAAGACTTACGGATGACTAGCATTTAAAGATCCCTGAGGCCCACTATTTCCTGACTCCCCTGGAAATCAGTAATGTTCTGTTATTACCCTGTGATCCATGAGAACAGAGTTCTCAGGAGGAGATGGGCAGGTTGAATCTGTCACTCTAGCTGCAGTGAAATTAACCCACCCTTTAATGTCTCTTAACATTTTGGTCAGTAGTTTGGCGTAAGTGTGTGGCAAAGCTCTTTAAAATAGTGTGAAATAATTTAAGGTGGAATTTGATTTCTGTTTAGGAATAGAAAAAAAATTAAAGGTACTTTTAAAAACAGAAAGACTTCAACAACCCAGAAAGGTAGTGTTAAAGCTAAATTGTATCTTTTATTAGCCAAAGTAAGTTATAAGACATCTTGTTAGGGGATCATAAATGTTCAGACATTAAGAATCCATTTCACTCACTGTTCTTTTCATTTCAGCACACCAAAGAAAACTGGGCAGGCAAAAGATGAATCTTTCACAAGCAGTGATGACAATGAAGATGTAGTTTTAGATAAAAGACTTAAATATTATAATTATTCACGGTCAACTGGGCATCACTCTGCAAGGAGACCAATATCTATCTCCAGAGAATGGCACGGATATAAAAAGAAGGACCAGACTATTAGTGTAGGAAAAGACATTAACTGTGACGTGATGATTCATGGAGATCATGAGAAGGAAATGAGAGCCCCTTCTCCATACTGGACCATGGTGAAGCAAGACAACAAAAGCTCCTCCTCCTCGGCTTCCTCTACCTCAGATGCATTCTGGCTGGAAGATTGTGCCCAAGTTGAAAACAGCAAAGATCAACCGGTATCAAAGGCTGATTAGGCAGTGGTTTGCAAATCTGTGATCATATGAGCATTTATCTTGAAGTCACTCAATTCTTGTGCATCACCAGGTGCAGGTTTGCTATATTTACAGGAATATGTACACACTTACCAAATCTCTCCTATGACTGCACTGTAAAGCATTCAGAGACCTCCTTCAACGTGATTATCTAAAGACTTCCCTGGGGTCTTGTAGGCCTCACAAATCTTATTCTCAAAATAGTAACATCATTCAGATCATCAAGACTCTTACTTTGCTTTCTGTAAAGAATTTCTCATCTTTTAGAAAATGCAATAGAGGAACCTAATATCAGAATGTCTGAACATAGTAGAGAACTTCACTTAAAGTAAATACGTCATTTTTTCTTTACACATTTAGTTTCTCTCTCTTTTTTAAAAATAAGTCCAGAGATCTAATTCCCGCCCCTGCCCATCCCCCGCCCAACTTCAAGAGCCCTACTTAAAAGAAATAACCAAGATTCATTCTTTGGCTAGTTGTTCACATTACAATTTTTTTCCCCTTTTCAGCCCCACTTGTACTTTGAATGTTGCACTAAGAGTTTTCTTTTTTTTAGGTATACCATGGAGTACTATGCACTGAGAGTGAATTACTTGAACAAGATAGGACAGAAACAGACAAGGGAGAGAAGGAAATGAGAGAAAAACCAAACTCTGCCAATGAAGATATATCAGACATATAAAATGAAGTAATAGGAACACAGAATATGATGATAGGGAATTTATGTTTTTCAGAAACAATTTTAATACAAAGAAGGTAAAAGTGGGTAAAAACCAGACCACTTAACTGTACCCCAAATGACAGATTTTGAACTTGCTTTTATCTTAAAAAGCCACCAATAATAATCTGGAACTATTTACCCTGATAGCCACTTGGCCTTAATTTTAATAGTTTCTGATGCTTTTGTACTCAATTATATTGTGTCTTTTACAGCATCTAAAACAAAGATATTAACATATAATAAATACTTGTTGATTAACTGATTAGGAAAAATGCAAGAAAACATTTAAGCAGAACACTTTATTGACTTTAGGTCAGTTGGGAAGAACTTATGCTTTAAAGTATTTTACCTCATTAAAAAAAAAGATAAATATATTAGAGACTTCTGACTTTCATATGTTTGCTGCTCTGGGCTGAGAGAATGTTCAGCTCTCTCCTGTAATATGTGCTTCAGTATTACAACTCATCAACGAAAGGTGTATGTCCCAAATTTCCACTTGCTGCCATTGACTTCTGGCCAGAAACGAACTTCTTTGCGGCCTTTAAATAAACAAACAAACAAAAACTCAAAGTTAACAGAAATAACAACAAATGTCATCAAGTGGATAAACTTATTTATTCTGTCATTTCAAGAGTTTATGAATAGGACATTCTAAACCAGCAATTCTATAATAGCCTCTTGTGAAAATTAACTACGAGATGGCTGGTGTTTATTTTAGCATGTGACAATGAGGGAGGGAAGCTCTGCTATTTTTCTGAAGGTTCCACGACATGTGTAACTAACTGAGCAAGAGCAGTGCACTAGAAAAGAAGGCAGCTGTTACAAGGGTTAAAAACTTCATGACATTGCCAAATGGGGCAGCATGGCTTCCCGCAGGGCTGTACTTTCCCATTTCTGTATTATAATGCCAAACTATCTGGGTCAATCTAAATACATTGATTGTTAACTTAATAGCCAACCTTATATCCTAGTATTTTTTTGTGCCGGTACTTCAAGTTTAAAGCCTGGTTGTTTAAGTTAAGTAATACCATGAGGCAGGTCTAGGTAGAGCTGCAACCCCCACATTATCTCAGGCCCACTTTCTTTTTTTTAATAGAGAAGAGATGGGTGTTGGAGGCAGCTGGGATGGGACTCCCATAATGATGGTATATAAGGTGAGGGCAGCCATTTGGAAGAGTATGTGATGATGAATTTAGGGGCCAAGGGAAATCCAGTGAGGGTTACGATCTTGAAATAATCTTCTTTTGTCCCTACAACAAGGTAGACCTGTTGGTGAGAAGATGGTTGAGACTTCTACAATGGGAGGCAAATTGGCATTTTTAATGTAGAAAGGAATGGGAAAACCTATTGACTTTGAGTTGATTCTGCAGTTTACATGCTTGGTAGGCATAGTAGGGAATACGAAGAAGTATAATAGTCCTTGCCCTCAAAACAACTCAGATCTTGTAGGGAACAACAATATATGTGAGAAAAAAACCCCAATGACAACAGCAAGAGCAGGAGAAATGTCTTAGGCTGCAAAGAGTAAAGAAAATCTTGAGATGCTGGATAGTGAAGGATTGGCAGGATAGAGTTTATTTCTTGAGGGTGAAGAGGAAAAATCGCAAACCTTACTATTTAGGCTGAAATCATATGAAATTGCCAATATTCAACTCTTCTTGATCTCTAAGAATTCAAAATGGCTTAACCTAATGGTAATTTATTTCAGTGAGGAGGACACAAACACCCTTGATTTGATAAGGAAGCTATCTGCAGATCTGATCGTAAGAAGCCCTCCTGCCTCCGCACTAGGTAGATAGGCATCAAACACGAGAATAGCATACACAGCCCGAGGAGACTTATGCATCCTTTCTGCAATTGGATCATTAAGGTTAAGTTCTCTGATGCTAAATCATAACTTTTCATTTGCTTACATTTATGACATCAGCATTAGCCACCGAATCAATCTGTTGAAGGACTGTGGATGGTGGCACGTAAGAACCAGCAACTAGAGCCTGGGACCCAACTTCATCCAGGAAACCCTCAGAAGACTCCACTGACATTAGGTATCCAGCTTTTAGCTTGTTCCTGTTCAATAAAAGACAGGAGTTAGTTTTACAGAGCAACGTAATTTTTTGGGGGGTGGGAGGAAGCATGAATAACAAAACCTTATTTAACTGATGTGGGAACAGCATGTCTTCCCGCTTCCTGAATTCTCCAACAAAAACACTGCTTCCTGCTCTGGAAAATAACAAACAATAAGCCTGAATGGAAGAAATCTCTTCAGGGTTCCAGAAGTGGCCAGTGAAGGCTCATCCTGTGAAGTTCGGCTTCTCATCTGTGGGTCCGTATGCTGCTGCAGATTTGGGCGAGGCAGCGAGAGAGCTTCTTAATGTTTCCCAAGGCCTCTGGATCCAGTTGTACAATATGGATCCTCTGCAAGTCACGAGCTAGTAATAGCGTGTTCTTTCTGCTGCCCACTGACACAGTGAGGAAGATCTCTTTGCTGTCAGTGACAGGGCTGCCATTCACTGACATACAGATGCTCCTCAACTTACGGTGGGGTTATTTCCTGATAGACCCATAGTAATTTGAAAATACTGTAAGTCAAAAACACATTTAATACATCTAACCCACTGAACATCATAATTTGGCCTAGCCTACCTTAAATGTACTCAGAGCACTCACATTAGCCTACAGTTGGGCAAAATCATCTAACACAAAGCCTATTTTATAATAAAGTATTAAATATCACATGTATCACTGGCCCAGGAAAAGCTCAAAATTCAAAGTACAATCATGTACTGTATAATGACAATTTGGTCAATGATGGACCATATATATGATGGTGGGCCCAGAAGATTATAATGGAGCTGAAAAATTCCCATTGCCTAGTGACATTGTAACATTATTATTATTATAGTATTATTATTATTACAATTATTTTTTAAAAATAAACCTAGTGTAGTCCAAGTGTACAGTGTTTATAATCTATAGTAATGTATAGTAATGTCCCAGGTCTTCACCTTCACTCACCACTCACTAACCTATCCAGAGCAATTTCTAATCCTACAAGCTCCATTCATGGGAAGTGCCCTATACAGGTGTACCATTTAAAAAACTTTTATACTGTATTTTAACTGTACCTTTTCTACGTTTAGCTATGTTTAGATACACAAATACCACTGTATTACAACTGCCTTCAGCCGTATAGTACAGTAACATGCTATCCAAATTTATAGCCTAGGAGCAACAGGCTATATACCACATAGCCTAGTAATGTAGAAGGCTATACCATCTAGGTTTGTGTAAGTATAATCTGATGTTTGCACAATGAAGAAATCACCTAATGACGCATTTCTCAGAACATATCCCTGTTGTTATGCAAGGCATGACCGTATGTTGAATTTGTGATGGTTTTGCACCACTGTAAAGTTAAAAAGATCTTAAGTTGGCCGGGCGCGGTGGCTCACACCTGTAATCCTAGCACTCTGGGAGGCCGAGGCAGGCGGATTGTTCTGAGCTCAGGAGTTCGAGACCAGCCTGAGCAAGAGCGAGACCCCGTCTCTACCAAAAAATGGAAAGAAATTAATTGGACAGCTAAAAATATAGGTAGAAAAAATTAGCCGGGCATGGTGGTGCGTGCCTGTGGTCCCAGCTACTCGGGAGGCTGAGACAGTAGGATTGCTTGAGCCCAGGAGTTTGAGGTTGCTGTGAGCTAGGCTGACGTCACAGCACTCGCCCCAGGCAAGAGAGTGAGACTCTGTCTCATTAAAAAAAAAAAAAAAAAAGATCTTAAGTTGAACCATGGTAAGCCGGTGACCATCTGTATTGTAAATCTGCTCTCTGGCTGCTAGGGTGTGCAGGCCAGGGGTCTTGAAGACTCTATCAAACCTGGGTGTAAGGCCTGGAGCTGGTTTCATCACAGACAATTCCAAATGGCCCATAGCAGGGGTAACAGTGTTATAATGTCTTAACCTTTTGCTTTTGCCTTTTTTTGGTGTGAACTGGGTTCTCTCCTTAGATAGAGGACACCTTTTAACACCTGCAGTTTGAAGAGTCTAATGTTTATTTTCTTCTTCTTCAACTATCATTTCATCCACTTGTATTACCTTTTGTGTTTGGGCAGATTTCAGGGATGTCTGAATAACTTCTGCTGTTAATTCTGTGATATTCAGGTCAGCTGTTGCTGCCTCTTCCAGGGCCTATTTGTTTCCTCCAAGGGTAAAGTAGTCAAGCCAGTTCATCTTGGGCAGCGAAGCAAGACAATTTTAAAATACCGTTCCCCAAAACTCTTTAATATGGTCTTGGTAAACAGGCAAACTAACAGCTTGGAATGCTAAAGTCCTTCAATCTATTTCTTTACTTCATCAAATATTTTATTGTTTATATTACCATTTGGAAAACTGTCAGTACAAAACTATACTAAAACCTCAACAGACTGCCTTTTGATTTTGGACTAGAACTTAGATCTAGGTAAAAACTATTTTATTTTTTTTTTTAGAGACAGGGTCTCACTCTGTTGCCCAGGCTGGACTGCAGCGGCACAATCATAGCTCACTGCAGCCTGGAACTCCTCCGCTCAAAGTGATCCTCCTGATTAGCTAGGACTACCAGCGTGTGCCACCATGCTGGCTAATTTTTTTTAAATTCTTTGTAGAGAAAGGGTCTTGCTATGTTGCCCAGACTGGGCTTCAACTCCTGATCTCAAGTGATCCTCCTGCCTTGGCCTCCCAAGGTACTAGGATTACAGGCATGAACCACTATGCCCAGCCTACGTAAAAAAACTATTTTAGTGTGAGGTTTTGATTAGTGAAGTTAACTTGTGGCTCCTGATACTTTTTTTAGTGATAATTTCAGGCATTTCTATTAAAGAGAGATACCTATATGGGTTCTTAAGGCACTGTCCACTTCGCAGAATGTTGTATACTGATTTTATATGTACATTTCCTCCCAAACACCATCTCAATGAAGGTGGGGCATGGTGGGGAAGAACAGCACAGGTCTTGTAAGCCCCAGAAGCTTAAATATGGGCACAAAAACATCGATTTGAAATAAAGCAAAACAAAACCTAATTCATAATTCTCCCAGAAAGAAACTGTTATTCCTTATAAACATCGTGTTTGATAAGCACTTGAGTTATTTAAACCCCAAATAAACTATCATCCTTTGGCACTCTATAGCAAGACTTCCATTTAAACATAATTACAATTTAATGCAGCAATTTTACCACACTGTCGGCCTAATTAAAAAAGGATTTTACCTGCAATAAACTTTAGCAAGAGGTTATTAGTTTGTCCCTTCATCAATGACAGTCGACAGACTGCATTTTGGTTTTTTTTCTTTCACTACAGTAAGACTAAGAATCTTACAAGAAAAAGTATCAATTCCATCGATATGGCAGAAAACAAACATATCTTGACATTAGTAAGCAAAATTTCAGTTTCTACATATTGCCATACCTTACAAGAACTATGCTATGCTTAAGAAAATTAATTTTATTAAATAAATAAGATTTTTCTTAAGTAAATCCAGTGTTTCAATTTATTCTCATCATGTTTTGTTTCTGGTACAAGCAAGGAGAATTGCACCCTATCAATCCTTGGTTCCATGTATACGATATTTAATAAATTGTGTTGTACTAATACAAGAGATGCAGTTTTGTAGTGTGTTCAGTAAAACAAAACTAACAATACTAGTGGAAGTAGAAATGACTAAAGAGTTATTCCATCCTGGGTTGTAACTCACCCTGTCTTACTGCCCCTGTGGGCAATACTAAACGATCGTAAAGACCAACTGAGCTGTTAGGATTCACATTTTGAATTGTGCTAAGTAAATGGAGTCAAATTTAAATGTCTTAGACTGCTGTATGAAAATGCAGGTTGATTTCCAACTTTGTCCAAAGTCTCTCTGTTAGAGAAACTCCCCAAACTGCTAATGAATTAGGGCTGTTGTTATTAGCACTTTTTTTTTTTTTTTTGAGACAGAGTCTCACGGCACTGCCTGGGCCAGAGTGCCGTGGCGTTATCCTAGCTCACAGCAACCTCAAACTCCTGGGCTCAAGCAATCCTTCTGCCTCAGCCTCCC